AATCTCTATGTATCAAAGGAAATCACGTTTAAGAAATATTTCGTGTATTGGACAAAGAAAAACTGGGCGCTGAAGGACAAAATTGATAAGGTTCGTTCAATACCGGTGGAAACAGGATTATTTTACCATTACAATGAAGAGATAATAAAAAACTTATGGAAAAGAAAAGAGAAGATGGAGAAAATTAAAGAAAATGAAAACTATGAACGGGTCGACTTTGATAACTTGGTGTTTTATTTCATTATGTTTGCGGCTACTTTGCTGTGGAGTTTGGTCATTTTTGGAATTGAATTTATGGTTTACCACATTCATTCTAAATATCTAAGACGAGAAAAGGAGCGACGACAGTTCATTGAGAGATTGAGAACACAACCACGGATTATTCTACCCCAGGTCGAATAGTTATATCAAACACTCGCGAGTGGTTCAAATAAAGAAAGGTCAACTATCCAATTAGCAGATGAGTTTTGTTTTGCAATTTGAGTACCGATTATTGTGAATGATCCGTGAGTATTTTTGTCTTTACCGTGTGATTTTACATTGTCTATACATAAATAATGGATTTCTTGACCCAAGAAATTTTTTTTTGGCTCAAAAATAATTTGCGCACTTAGGATTAGGATCGAAAATTTTATCGGGTCAAGAAAATAAATGTCAAGAATCTTATTACTTAAATTTGAAATTTTCAATTAATTCGCTAGTAAAATTTTATTCTGTCTTTATTTCATTTTAATGAAATAGTTTATTGAACTAAGGAATGTTTGTTGTCCATTAGGATTTTTAAATTTTAGCTGCAACAATTATCTAATTCCAAGTTATAATTATCTCTGTTCTAAGAAAATAGCAGTATATGTTACGGGGAGAGAGTTAAAAAATTTTCTTGGCTCAAGTGAGTACCTAATACGCCTAAGCAGTGCCTAATTAATCATAAAAGTATTTTGAGTTGAAGATAATTAACGTGTCATATTTTATGGAAATGACTTTGAGTTTAAAAGATTTAATTTGTAAAGAGTGTGAATTAATTAATATTATAAATTAAATTTAAATGTATGCTATTTTGTGATATTAAATAAATCGATTGCAAAATATTAATTTATGCTTATTTTAAAATATTCAAATTATTTCGAAAGTTTTTCTTCAAAAGTTTCGAATTAAAGTACAGTCTCACTATTTCTTTTTTTTTTTTTTAATATTTAATAAATTAAATTATTAAAAAAACGTTATTCAGCCGCACTCAAGACCAAAGATAGGTTTCATAGAATAAATTGAAGGTAAAAATTTTTGTTAATTTAGAGTATTACAGGTGAAATCAAACGACATGCCATCAGTTTTAAAGTGGTGTTTCAAAAAATGGGATTTTATCTGTATCAAAAGTTGTTAACAAATATAGTTACGGAAATGGCGATTTTTTTTATTTTGAAAATTTTAGATGGCCACTTATTTCTAGAATATTTTTCGGGTTTTTTTCATCTTCGAACTCGTTCATGTAAATCATATAATGAGTAAGCAGTTTTACCGATCGATTCTAAAAACTAATCAGCTCTTAACATAAAAAAACCACGTCGATTGCAGCCAGTCCGGTCGAAATCGGTTAATTCGTTCGTGAGTTATCGTTAACGAAAAAATCGTTTTTTGGAAATTACTTCGAAATTCCTTGTTCGATCAATTTAAACTTAAAGGTTCTCCATGAGGCTTTCAAAACTGCGTTAAATGCCACCAACCACGTAAAAATCGGTTCATTCATTCAAAAGTTATTGCGGTTTAAAAATTCAAAAAATAGTGTTTTATTCAACTTTTAGCAGATTTTTGAGCTCGGAGAGCTCAAAATAATATGAAAATTATATCGAAGTGTTCAAAAAAGTAATAAATGCAGTTCTGTGCGCTTAAGTATGAAATGAGCGGGAAGTTGCTATAGGATAGCCTTTAGGGTCAACTGTTTTCCTAATTATTTTGGTTGTTTTTCTGAGATTTCTTCAAATCTACCAGTGCGAATCGGTCCAAATTTTTATTCAAAATCTTTCAAAAAGTTTGGTCAAGCCTTTTGGAATGGCCCCAACTACGATCAAATCAATCAAGCCGTTTAAAAGTCATGCCACGGAAAGAAATACATTGCGGATATCCCTATGTCGCTGCAGAGCATTGCTATAATTCCTATGAGTATAGGAGTATCTACTATACTGTATAGTACCAGAATTGTTGCGTCTATTACACGGGCGCATAGTAGGTTTGACGTGACAGCATTGCCGCCAGCCCCATACTGCATCGCACATCTCACAATGCTACTAGTTTTTCCCGCGATGCTACTTGGCACGACAATCAATAACTCTATCGAATTATGGCCAATATTTTATGGGTACAGCTACTATATCGACATAAAAATTTATGAATTAGTAAAAAGAAAATAAACGTGTGTTAACAAGTGTAACGAGTATAAATATAGTAACAAGTATAAATATAACGCAATAAATAAACGTAATGAATATAATATATTGATTTGATTTTGTTGAAATAGTAAGTACTATCATTCAATCAAATACATCTCTTATAATTAATATAATAAAAAAATCATCAAAATAAGTAAACTAACCTAAATTTATGTGATATTTTTTCTAGATAAGAGGTGGTATTGTTTATTTTATTCAGATTTAAAATTTTGTAGTGACTCGAAAGGTAATCGCTGGGAATGGTAAAACTTACATTCCAAAACGTTAGATTTAATATAAATTCATTATTAAAAAAAAAATTTTGTAATATCCCTGGCGGTTTCGGCAACACGGTGAAAGCACAGTCGATTGACGGTTGTTTCACGGTCGTTTCACAGTCGTTTCACCGTATAAAGTCCGTTGTTACCGAGCGAGTTGTCAGTCTGCATCGGATACAGCTGTGAACGATATTCACTGTGAATTAACAGAATATATACGGTGCAAACGCAAGTGAATCTACGATGTTATGACCGACACCGTACGCTCAATATACTGTCGAAATACGGTGATTTTACGCTACTGTCACGGACAATAAAATAAAAAAAAATACTTCGAACAGTCTAGACCGGGAC